TTGGCTATCGATGTTATTGTGTTGAAGCATTCATGAGAGAGATGTTGGCGAGAATCATGCTCAGGCTTTGATAAGCTCTCGGAGCAGTCAATTTGAGATATCAGATCCTCTCAGATAGTAAAGCTATTGATCTGCGTCGAGCAGAGTTCTGAATGTTGCCAGTGCAATGAGTGCGAGCTGCCCCCAGTAACTTGTCGTAGTCGACATTCGGAGACGTAAAACTTGCACATAAGGTAGCCAGAGGGAGAGGACAGCCAAGAATAATTGACAGCTCGACTGTGTGAATGCGTGAATTTGAAAAGCAGTGCGGGAGAATACGCATTCTACCGAAGACCCTTTTTCTATTTGAACACTGCAGCATGGCTGGCATGCAATTGGTCACTTAAAAGCGCGAATCTCTTTATTCGTGATAGCGCACCGTTGAATTACCAAATTTCGCCCAGAAGATTCATTGACCTTCCATTTCCAGCCATAGGAAAGAAAATCATTGGCTTCACGGCAATGATGCCATTCGGCGGTTCAACTTTTGCCCGCGGCTAATCTGTTCGTGGTGAGCTTCCCAATTGTCATCCCAGGCAACGGCGCCCTTTAAAGCACGCAGCAGCGGGCGAGTCATCGGCAGAGCGGGGGTGTGGCCCGTCCGGAGGGCGCGCGCGTTCCCCGACCCCGGCCGGCATCGGACACTCATCCTGCCATCTCATCGCTCTTGCGATGCTCTTGAAACTGATGCTGTCAATTCCTCACTTTTAAATGAGTCGGCTCTCCTGGACGCATTGACTGACACGATTTATCAACACAAGCCCAGCAGCTAATCGATCCTCACCAAGGAAACCTGAACCCCGCCACCGGAAAACGTCCGGGAAACTAAGTCTCACCAAAACCCCTCTCACAACTTACCGTTACACATCACCGGCGAAATGGCAGACCTCACAACATGTCTGCCCCTGAACCGCGCCTCTGTGGTAGAAGCGCACAAACTCGTCAAGCCACACGTACACTACACGCCCGTCCTCACAAACAAGACCCTCACCACCCTCGCCTCGACGTCGCGGTCCCCCGAAGACCTGAAGGGCACGAGATGGGAGGGCCGCACGCCCGCGAAGCCGACCCTCAGGCTATGGTTCAAGTGCGAGAACCTGCAGCGCATCGGCGCGTTCAAGGTCCGCGGGGCGTTCCACGCGGTCGAGAGGTTGAAGCAGGAGCCTGGCTGGATTGAGAATGGCGGCATGGAGAAGGGCGTCGTCACGCACAGTTCTGGTGAGACACATTCAACCCCTCATATTGCCGTTCTTATTTTTGAGTCTCTTATATGACGGAATGAGAATGCACTTGAACACTCACACTAACGAAACTCTTAGGAAACCACGCTCAAGCCCTCGCCCTCGCCGCGAAAGAGGCCGGCATCCCCGCCCACATCGTCATGCCGGACATCTCCCCCGCCAACAAGATCGCCGGCACCCGCGGCTACGGCGCCAACGTAATCTTCAGCGGGAGCACCTCCGTCGAGCGCGAGGCCGTCGCCGACCGCGTCATCGCCGAGACCGGCGCCCGCCTCGTGCCTCCCTACGACCACCCGGACATCATGCTCGGCCAGGGTACCCTCGGCCTCGAACTGCAGGAGCAAGTGCGCGACCTCATCGCCGCAGGCCACTCGGCGCAGAACCCGACCTTCAACTCCACCGGCCAGCCCTCCTCTGCATCAGAAGCCAAGGGACTCGACGCCATCATGACGCCCTGCGGCGGCGGCGGCATGCTCTCTGGCGTGGCGCTCAGCTGCGAGGGCACGGGTATCCGCGTGTTCGGCGCGGAGCCCGAGTTCCAGGGCGCCGACGACTGCAAGCGCGGATTCGAGGCGGGTAAGAGGGTCGAGAGCGTCAAGACGCTGACGATCGCGGACGGGCTGCGGACGCCGGTGGGCAAGTTCCCCTGGGGCGTGATCTACGAGAGGAGGCTGGTGGAGAACATGTTCAGCGTGAGCGAGGAGGAGATCAAGGCGGCGGTGAAGCTGGTGTTTGAGCGGTTCAAGCTCGTTGTCGAGCCGAGCGGCGCGGTCCCGCTTGCGGTTGCGCTGTTCAACGAGGATTTCAGGAGCATGGTTGAGAAGGAGGCTGGGGAAAAGGGGTGGGATTTGGGCTTGGTGTTTAGCGGTGGTAATATGGCGATGGAGGGGTTGATGAAGATTTTTGCATCGTGAGATGATTGGAGAGGATGAGGAAGCACATATGAGGATAGAATAGACTGCATATGATACGTCGTATCGATGGATCGAGCTGCCACAATTGCTTGTCACTATTACCATCGTAGTCTTCTCCGTTCACTCACAGAGTACAATCGTGCATACAGAAAGGCTATCGAACCCACAAAAAGTGTTCGTTTCTTTCATCCTAGTCGAATCTTATCCTAGACGAATGGTTGGGGAATAACAAGAATGTCTCTTTGTGATATTCCGTCATATTGACCAAGCGCTGCGGTATGGCTCTCTTACAAACATCGGAAGATCTACACATCTTTGCCGCAACCGTCGTTCTCAAGACAAACAGGCGTAAGTGATCCAATGTTTGTCACATAAATTCATTGGTCAAAGCAGAAACAATGACTCTTCTCGCCGGCAGAACGTTGCCGCGTCTGTTCGGTTCGCAAGGAGTGCTCCTGCTGAAAGCTTACTTGGTGGAAAGACGGGAGGAAAATGATGGGATGTGGTGCGCGTCAAGTATTCCATACCCCCATCCCTGCTCCTGCATATTTTCGTTCGGCACTTCTCGCCAACTATTGCCCGCATATCCCGACGTTCAGGAAGTCAAAGATCGACATCATCACAGTCAAATATTCCAAGGCCAATTTCGTCAACGAATATACGAAGAAAGTCGCTGGATACCATGCTTCAGCGATAGATAGGCGGAAAGGAGATCAACAGATGTTGTTCGTGAAGCGTGTGGCAATCGACCCCAAACTATGGCCGGGTGATGGTCCTCAACTTGTCTTACCAACGGATAATCAGATCCGAGGACGACTATCGTTGTCATAGTGGAAGTTACCAGCAGTAGATCTCTTTTATGTACTTGATGCAAGTTGGTTTCTACTCCCGACCAGTGAGCGTGGCGCGGGGGTGCTTGTATCTTCCAACGTGAGCTGCAAGTTACCTCAAGTCATTCCAGTCTTGGAGAGTAGGTGCATTCTGATTCAGATGTTACGAGACGATGGAGTTTGCCGACGTCTTTTTTGTACCAAAATCGTTTTCGTTGGTTTTTCTGATAATAGTAATGGCACAGGTGACCAAAAGTCGTTTGGATTTTTGGCCGGAAACATTGAGATATCTCCCAGCCGTCGTTATTCAATTTCGTCTGTTTAGTGAATGAATATGATTATGAATACTCTAAGAATGGCTCGCCTATGTATGGCGACTTCAATCCTGCCTTCTTTGCAGATGGATATGTCTGCTGATATTATCGTGTAAACTCAGGTTCTGTCTTAAGAAAGTGTATTCCCTTGGCACGATGTCGTCTAGGCAGTGTTATCTCATTGCTGTAGTCAGCATCTTTTGCGATATGTAACCCGGCTTATAACGGCACCAATACATGCAATAATTGTCGGAGCCACAGAAAGCTTTTCTTTTGGTCTATTCTTACACTCGCAGAATGAGGTACGTTTTGTTAAGGAAGTTTCATCGCCCGCCCTGTGAGAGGGTACAGAATAAGTAAAGCAGCAAGAGCACTTCGGCCGGTGCTTCGTTCAATAACATCGCAGTATACGTACCCAGAGGCTTGGAATCATGGGATGCACCATCCGCATGAATGATTCCAATTATCTTACAAAATTTGGGGTGGCACAACCTTCCACATGCATGCACATTAATTTGTCAACGCAATTAACGAGTAATCTTGCTGGCCGTCACTACAGGTGCTTCTTATTATGTTGACTTCCAACAGCCCTTTCATCGGCGAACCTGTCCGCCGCCGCATCGATTTGAGGTCGGACCATGCAGATCATCAACGAATGCTTCACCTTCTCGTTTGATGTTGCATATGCTTACCCAAAACGCTGTGTCTCTGTGTAACTCACAGCCTGACTTGGCCCTCAGTTTTCCAAAGAGGCTACATCGAGGGCTTCACCGACCGAGGAGCGGCGGTTCTTCTACACACAAATCATCTTTTCATTGGCTCTTCATACGAAATAGTTTTCTGACTCCCTGCTTCTATTTATTTGTCGTCTGTGGTAAGCCGCATGACGTCGGAGGTGACCATCGCTTAGAGGGGCGATTACCTTTGCGCATTTACAATATATAAGCAGGCTCTGGCCAAATCCTTGGACATTTCTGGACTATTGGAATTACAAGTATGTTTGAAAGTCTATGACCAAGTCAGATCCTGTTTCAAATCTCATGCCACGGCGGAGCAAAGAGACTATGCATTATTCCTATTTTGAGTATCCTATAACTCGGCCATATCCTTTCAAGTGGTTCACTCCCGTTGCAATCACAGGCTGTGTCATCCTGACTGTGGTCTTTTCACTTGTCAACCTAACATCAAACGGCTTTGACTTGAAGCCTATCTACACTACTGATGTTAACGGTACGGAAGCTGCTGCAAATGCGCGGTAAGACGCACCCCGGGTGATATTCCGACGTGAGATGACCTAAAACATGATGTGGAAACAGGTGGTTTAACAAGCCGCCTTTCAACTGGCAAGGGGACATGGATGTCGAATGCCAGCCCCATCTTCTAACAGTCGGCGACTCGTTCTTCACCTCAAACCATGGTTTCCGGTATAAGGTGAAGAGCATAGAGCTTCCCACGAAAGACACCGAGTCTCCAGACATTCTTTCGTCAATCGGATATAAGAACACGACGCTTAAGGGTTGCTTCTTGAGTCAGATGTTCGTCAAATTGATGAAAAGCGACCCGGCTCCATTGCCATCCTGGTGGATGTCATTCAAAAATTCAGTGGCGTCGGCAACCTTACAGTGCACTGTCGTGTCTGATGTCGGACTTGCTGAAGTCACCATGGAAGCCGAATATGAAGGGGAGACCGAGCCCGTCTACGACTACGTCATGGATTCCAATTACAAAACACGCGCGAGCGTTTGGTGGGGAACTCGAATTTCGAACGCCTACTTTATTGGCATTTTAAGTGCTGCCTCACAGATTGCAGATGTAGACGTTGATGGTATCAAAACGTATCTCAACCGGGCCAGACTTACCTTCAATGGTAACCGGTCCAAGTCGGAGTAAGTCTCAATTTCTGAATGACCCCTGCACTTGCCGACTGGCCAGGTCGCTAAATACTTAAAAGTCTTCGATCAGAAGAGTTATTTGATCTCGATTGGTCGTTCCAATTCGTAACTAGCGCCGTGCAGGGCATAAACTCGGGCTTGGATTACGACACCACACCCTACAACTCCGATGTATGTTTGTTTTGACGTTGGTCCTGTTCCCAAGATGACTGCGTGCAGGCTGACGATTTGGAAGTTCTGGGGATCGCCCACATTGACAGAAGCCCTGCATTACTCCAAAATCATGCATTCGCTGTTTGCAATAGATCTTGGAAACTGCGACTCGCCAAACCTACTGGTTGATGAAGATGGCCTCAAATATGCCATCTTGGACCCAAAGAACTCCAATCGGCTTCCGGGTGGTATATTCAGCAATCTGACTGATCAAGGTGGGCTGGACTATCGCCGCTATACCATGTTGCCTAGGCCGGACGACGACAAGTCCCTTATCTGGGGCACCGTTCTCCTGAATGAGAGCTACAGCACCATCCAGCCGCTCATGGGTCCTTTATCCTGCGAGAAAGCTACTATAGCAGCTCAATACCTTTGCTCCGTGCCCAAGCAGAAAAGCGTAGGGGTGATGTTGCTAGCCATCGTTCTTGCAGATTTGGTCTTCCTTCAAGCAGCGTGGAAGTTACTGCAGTGGTTCGCAGATTCGAGAATGGCAAACAGACCTCAGATGAAGTTCTGCGAAGGCTGTTTAGAAGCCCAGGGTGGAAATGCCGGCGAAGTTGAACTAGAGAGCCAGCCTCGTGGGAGACAACAAGCGGGTTCCTCACTTCGGCCCAACGATCGTTATGTTAGACTTCGTAGTCGCGAGTGAGAATAGGGTCACGATCATATTCCTTTTGTGAAAGCATGAGGAAGATACAGAACACTAGGCACTCATAACACTTTGAGGTATCAAGTCTATTCAGATATTCTAATCTTCACAGGCTTATTTCTCGCACCAGCCAGTGGGCTGGCCGAGAGCCTTGCACTTGTCAATGTACAGAGGCTCGTTGATGTCGATGATGATCTGGCACCTGGTGGGGTAGGGGCCGGCTGTTGGTTAAAGGTTAGCCATCCAAGATCACAAAGCCTCGAGGGTGGGTTGCGAGCAAACTTACCGTATGAGCCGTAGTCGGCACAGGCAGCCTTGGTGGTGTCGGGGTCGCTGACAAGCGCGGAGCCGGTGTCCCTGCCGCAGTAGCAGTTCTTGATGTCATCACCCTGGCGCTTGACGTGGACGCGGTTGTCCTCGGCCGGGGCAGCGGCGACAATGGAAGCGAGGCCCCTACGTGTGTGTTAGTTGAGTCGCTCGGAGGTGGGGGAACTGGAATAATAGTGGGTGGACGAACATGAGGGCAACGACGGTCTTAAGTCCGAACATTGTGTGAATTGTTTGATTGGAAAGTTGTCAAAGAAAGTAGACAGTTGGAATGTAAATGAATGTGATGCTGACGACTTGAGTCTGAGTTCTAGAATTCTGCTCAGCCAAGGCGCGATGCGGGGAATTATATACTAGTAAGACGTGAGTTGAGCAGTTGCCTCAATGCCCCCCGCTTGGCCGGCGAGGGCGACGAGCTCTGAGCCTCTGAGGGGTTTGCGGGCGAAAGTTGCCTCGAAAAGACCTCTGGGCAATCAACTTCATCCCTGTACTCGTTCGTCCCAAAGAGATAGACTTTCTTAGCTGATCTACGTTCATAATATGAAGCTTACTGAAAATGCGCTCGTTGCCGGCAAAAACCGAAGTCAAGAGCATAAGTGACTCTGAGTCGTACAGCTTTCGTTAGATTAATCAACATGATCGGCATGTGTTTCTCCCGCAAAGATACTGTTGTCGGTGAGGCTGCTTGACTCGGGCAACCAAATTCCGTAAGTTGAATCCGAGGTACAATATCAAGCCGTAGCTTGAATCTTATAGGGATTCTTCCACCACGCAAAATGCTACAAAACGCAATTTCCGAGTATTTGCGCGGTCTTGTGGTTGATCTTTGAGAGATGTGCAGAAACTGAAGAGTTCTTAGAAATTCTCGTCATTTTCCGTGTGCTTCCTATGTCACGTTGAAACGGGAGCAACCAAAGATATTTTGATGCGTAATTAGACAAGCTAAAAGCCTGGGCGCCGTATTAGTGGTTTCTGCAGGCTGTCACCCCAGGTTTCAGACACCCGATTTGTCGCATGCTTATGCGTGGACATTGGCGGCTCCCCAGGGTACAGGGGTCATGCCAGCAGCACCTACGGCTTGACCGACTCGACGGCCGCTGTCACCATGGATAGATTCACTGAGGCAAATGCCACACAGAGTGTATAAATCTTGCGCCTCAGGGGCTGTCGGTCGTTCCTGTGCAGGGGCCCGTAACCTTAAGAGTTCCCCGGTTGTCGCTGACAAAGTCGCTCTCGCGAACTCACATGATGCCCACCATATAAGATTCAGCGAAGGTGGACTATTCCGATCAATAAGACATGAAATAATGTGTCACAGTTTAACATCTCACGCATAAGCCACATTCAGCTTGCAATATCTATGAATGGCATCAAATGAACCCCTGTTCTTATCTTGGGAGCATAGCTAGTCTTTTTCAAAACTTGCCTTGAGATCATTTCCTTAGACACACTGCCGCACTTGTCAAGTTCGACAGTGTTGTGTATATCATGTGTGAGACGGTCTCAACAAATCCAATGATGTCATTCGTAGAAGTTGTGACTCTACAAGTGACTACTCTATGCCGCAGAGCTGGTTATTGAATCTTTGTCAATGAATTTTCTTCTTAACACCTTCTCAAGTTGACATTAGCTAATAAACAGGATAATATGCCGAGCGTGACATCAGGTATATAGGTGTATGTATATGTTGATGAAGAGAACCTACGAGATTTCTTGTTCACTCCGAATAGAACATGCGCCCCTAATAAGCTTATGTGTAGCAACATACTAGAGCTTTTCATATGCATGGTTGAATGTGGTTTAGTTGGTAACTCAGCTAGCAGCGGTATGTGGTATCGCGACTGTTTCTAACGTCTGGCCAAATCGACCTTTGGTGCGCTTGGGAGCTTTGACATTAAACCCCCCCCCAAGCCAGTGACAGCATCCAGCACTTCGAAGAGCTTCCCCAGGCCATGCATGAGTGGTCACCTAGGCCGTTTGGTGTGGAGAGATGCGGGCTCCAGTGCTCCGCAAAGCTTCCCAACAAAGTCGGAAAATGCTCCAGCTACACATACCCTGTTTTCAACCATGGCCAGAAGGATGACCTACATATGCACCCTACCAAATAAAAAGATATTGATCAAGGTTCAAGCAGGTGAATTAAGAAGGATTGCATCCTTCAACTTGAAGATGACCAATGCCGTGGGCCTGATGACGAAGCCGGCGGGAACAGCGGCATGCGGGCCGCAGCGGCAGTTTAATCCCGGCGCCCCACCCCGCGCCACCGGAGACAGTTAAAGGGCCCCGCGTCCGTCCCATATTCCCATCTCAGCAAGCCGTAAAAGCACCCAGGTCTGACCTACCCGAGGTCCTTGCTGACCAACCTTCTGCCGCCGCAATGCGACCATCTCCGCGGAGCCTCAACACGGCCATCTCGCCAGCACCAGCCATAGCGACTCGACCCTCTTCTAAGCGTGTCTTACCCATCCTCCTCCCCTCCACCCGTTCATACTCATCCCTTTCGTCCATTGTCAACAACAGCCGCCGAACGAGACATATCCCAAAAGCAACGGGATTTCCAAATAGTCGTGTCTCACTCTCCAGATCATCACAAACCTGCGGATTCAGCGCCGCAACTGCAAGCACGACGGAAAAAGCAAAAATGGCACCCTCCAAACTGAGAAGCTGGTTTCCCCACGCCAAGGCGCCCGTCATCATCAGCGCGCCCATGCTCGGGGCAGCCGGCGCATCTCTGGCGACCGAGGTCCACAAGGCCGGTGGGATCGGTAAGTAAACACACACACACACACTCACAAAAACACCCACGGAAACCGCATCGTCAACCTCCCTTCAAAGACAAATTGTCTTTTGTACCCACCAACGAAAAACATTACTGACCAAGCAACAGGTTTCATCGCCGCGGGCTTCGACTTCTCCGAGTCCTCCGCCCAGATGAAGGACATGGACGCCGCCCTCACCCAGGCCCGCTCCCTCCTCTCCACCACCGCCGACGACCAGCAGCCTCTCCCGCTGGGCGTCGGCTTCATCACCTCCCACGAGACGGCGGGCCTCTTCGCCGCCAACGTCCTGCCCGTCCTCGCCCGCCACCGCGTCGCGGCCGCGTGGCTGTTCGCGCCGAACGAGGACCTGAAGCCGCACGCGCAGATCATCCCCGCGCTGCGGAAGGCGGGCATCAAGGCCTTCGTGCAGGTCGGCAACGTGGCTGCGGCGCGCGAGGCGGCGGCCGACGGGGCCGATGTGCTTGTCGCCCAGGGCGTTGACGCGGGCGGGCACCAGTTCTCGAGGGGATGCGGCGTCGTCGCGTTGGTTCCTGAGATCAAGGCGATGCTAGCCTCTGAGTTCGCGTCCAGAGAGGTTGCTGTTGTCGCGGCGGGTGGTATTGTGGAGGGTGCGGGTGTTGCTGCGGCGTATGCGCTGGGGGCTGAGGGTGTGGTCATGGGCACAAGGTTCGTGGCGACGAACGAGGCCATGTCGGCGCAGTTGCACAAGGAGCTGCTTGTGAAGACGAAGGATGGCGGCGTGAGTACGTGGAAGCACGACTTCCATGATAAGCTGGTGGATAGCAAGCTTTGGAAACCGGGGTACGACGGCCGGGCGATTATAGGGGACATTCACCGTGAGTACCATGTGCTTGGAGGCAAGACGGCAACAGTCGAGGAAAGCCGGGAAAGGTTGAAGACTGGGTGGAGTGAGGATGAGGGAAAGAAGATGATTGGTAAGTGGTCGGGTGCCGGAGTTGGGCTCATCAACGAGATCAAGCCGGCTGGTGAGGTTGTCGTTGAGGTCAGGGAGGCGGCGAGGAAGAGGATTCAGGAGTTGGCCGGGTTGATCTGATTTGGCAGAAAAAAGAGGAAGAAAACATGGATTGCGAGATAATCCACGCTCACTCCTGGCAGATGAGTATAAAAATACCAAGAATGCTAGAACAGCTACTTCACCATGGTTCATACTCAATGAAGAAACCCAAATCAGTCTTTACAAGGGGTATCACTTTTGTGGTTGACTTCACTCCTATATCTTTATCCCCTAATGCCCCTTTTCGGTTTTCGTCAATTTCGCCGCGCTCTCAAAGTAGCCTCCTGTCCCGCCATACTTGGCCAACACTCCGTCGATATCAACCTCTTCGACATCCCGTGTCCGCTTCCGTCCCAGCATGGCCGTGTTCCTCGTGCTCGGAATGCGGAGCATCTCAGTCTCAACGACCCAGCCACAATCTTCAGCGATGCAAGCCGCCCAGTCCACGAGACAGGAATAAGTCGACTGCGACTTGGTCTTGTCTCGCGGTAATGGGGCACGGTGTTTCTGACCTCCCAAGGTGTGACTGCAGCAGGGAATCATGATAAAGGGGCTCTCAGAGAGAGCTGCCAAAATAGGGGTCCATGGAGTCAGCTCGTCCGCGTGGTTCGAGACGATGAAGGTGCCCTTGGGAAACGCGCCGTTGTGAGTTTGTGAGAGATCAATGACAGACTCCTCGCCATCGGTGCCAGAAGGTCTCGACACGGCGTCGGGAAGGAGCACCAGTCTCTGGAGGGAATCTTTCCCTGACTGCACGGTGTTGTACTTGGCCCAGGACTTTCTTGCTCTTGCGTCAAAGCCCCAGCCGGAATAACCCTCTTGAATGAGGATGTAAACAAGGAGGCCGTTGCCACAGCCGATATCCACGAATCCAGGGAATGGCTTGTCCTTGTACATCTCGGCCCACAGCTCGATCAGAAACGCAGCGATTCCCAAGTCCTCAAATACGTGCTTTGAAGGATCAGTCGTCTCTGCCCAGTTCTCCACAAGATCCCTCGCGTACTTGAGCTTGAGCTCCATGTAGCGATCTTGGAATCGCGCCTGGGGAATGACGACGTCGTGATGCACTCGCTTCTTGTAGCCAGCGACTCGTCCCTGGCCATGCTTGTACAAGACTGACAGCAGCATGCGGGCCGTCCGCACCAACTTCTCCACGGCAAAGTCTGCCTCGTCAAAGAACAAGTAGTGGATGGAGACGGTGCCGACGGCGCGCGCAGCGTCCCACTCGTGGAGATGCGCAACGCCCCGGACCTTGGGGTGGTAGAACGGAAGGGCGTCTGGGGAGGAAGCGTGGGGAAGGTAGACGACCAGGGACCTGGTCCCCGCGGCGCCGGCGTTGGCGTCCGCACCCGCCGCATCTGGGGTGCTGGAGGCAAAGACGCATGTCTGCTCCAGGGGATCGTCCCGGCGGGTGTTTCGCGGGATCAGCCTCCGCACAAGAACGCGGTCGTTGCGGAAATCCTTGAAGGCAACGGGGATAGGCTGCTGCACAGCTTGTGCGGCAGCTGCGACACCCTGCTGTTGATCGGGGAGATCAGAGGAGGTGGGGAGAGGTTCGGGCACCCATCCCGGGTCAGTGTCATTGAGGATGTCTGCGCGGAAGAGCCAGCTCGAGTTGATGTTTGGGTTCTTGACCAGGTTCATCATAACATCCTCAAAGACATCGGGCCCAAAGGCGCACTCTTGCCGGAACAAGGGATGCCATATCTCGCCCGAGAGATCGTGAATGGCTGGCTCCGCTGAGGGGCCAAGTGCCGTCGGGTCGAAAGCCATGGCACCTGTTTAGTGACGGAATTGGGTTCGGTTTCCTGGGCTGCAGGCTGAGAAGAAGGAATATGGCTCGACAGAATGAGACCTTTTGAGTGTGATCGGGAGGCAGAATTGTGACTCGGGCGCTATCGCATGAATGTGTAGAAATGGCGCTAGGCGGTTCGCGGTTAGCCCCGCAGGGTCGCGGCCAGGACCCATGTGACATTGTGTGTTGGCTTGCTGCGGGTGTGGTAATTTTTTGTTTACTTTGCGAGGTGGGGGTGACATGGCAACGAACCAAAATACACTACACGATCCGAAAACTCGCCCTTGCAGACCACCCTGAAAAGGTCCTGGTCCGTCTCTCGTCCTGCATAAGCTTGCGACTCGGCAGACGCCATTCCGCGATATCTTCTCCATCGATGACATTTCCTGCCTCATTTCGTTTCCTTCAGCGACAGCCAACGAGCCACAGACCCATTACTCCTATCCGCATGCCTTAGACAGGGGAATACACAAGCAGTATCCTCGTCTCGCCGAGAGACACGTCCATCACAATGGCAGAGAACGACAACTTGCGTACAGCGTCGCTGTACATCAACAACCAGCTGCTCTCGCGGGGACTGCTCCGCGATGGTCAGACCATTAACTTCGCCGACCCGGACGACAATCCGGGCGGCACGGAGGCCACCATGGGCAAGATCATGAGCATAGTCAATGATTTGATCTTGCGCCGAGACGTGCGTGTGCCCTCGTCCCTTTTGAAAGACTACCTTTGAAGATCCCCAAACTGAGACGATGTTTGTTTTCCCATCCTAAAGCGAGACGCCGAGCACCGCGAGAACCTCTCGACCACGCTGCGAACCATCCGAGCCGAGAACCTGCGATACACGGACGACATTGCACGCCTCTCGGAGAAGCACACCGAAGCCCAGCGCAAGGTCGACATCAGCGAGGCTACCGAAACCGCGTTACGAACCCAGCTCAAATCGGCAGACGCTGCTGTCCGCGGCCTCAAGGACGAGGTTGCCCGCGCCAAGACCCTCGTAGCCCAGACACGTGCCTCGTGCGCGACGGAGGTTCGCCGCCGTGATCGCCAGATTGACGGCCTGAAGAAGCAACTCGGAGACGCTGGCCGTCCTCGCGGCGCGGCAAAGAGCTCTGCGGTCACGGTTATCACCGTCGCCGCCGGCGAGGGCGAGGATAAGATATCGCCCAAGCGCGGTGGCAGGACAACCAACACCGAGGACTCCAACTATGACTTGCGAAGCGAGACGAACGAGTTTCTTACAGAGCTTTCGCGTAACCTCAGCGAAGAAAATGAGTCTCTGCTTGGCATTGTGCGACGAACTACGCAGCGACTGCGCGAGATGAGCGGCTGCGATGTTCGGACCACCCAGGGTGACGGTCATGCAGTTGCTTTGCCTACGGCCGAGGACATGGCTACGGAGCTTGACGCCATTCTTGAGCATCTTAGATCGATTCTCACGAACCCTTCGTTTGCCCCTATTGAGGAAGTTGAAGTCCGTGAAGAGGAGATTGCCCGCCTGCGTGCTGGCTGGGTCAAGATGGAGAACCGTTGGCAAGAGGCTGTCCACCTCATTGACGGCTGGCGTCGGCGTATGGCTGTTGACGGCAAGCCTGTCAATATGGAGGAGTTGAAGATGGGTCTTCGTCTCAGTCCCGTTCGTGTGCGCAATGTCGAGGAGACTCAGCACGGCGGCGTAGACATGCATGAGCACGAGCTCTCCTGTGTCAAGGAGGAGTGTACCGCCGACTTCGACGAGGAGGACCAGGACCAGGAAGAGGAAGAGGAAGAAGAAGACGAGGACGACGAGGAAATGCCTGAGTCTCCTTGCCCTCAACCCCAGCGAGTCGAGCAGAGAGTCGAGTCTCTTCATCTTGTTCCCGCGCCTGAACAGTACAACAACAACTTCAGAGAAGTTCAGTACGATGACCTCGAAGATGACCGAAGCGACTACGAGTCTAGCATTTTTGAGGATGTCGATGTTGAGGAGCTCGATGTCGAGGAGCCTAACGTCGAGATCCTCCAGCAGTCTGCCGCATACGTCAGCCCCCCTCCTCTCCCTCCTGCTCCTCAATTGAGCCCCCTGAAGGACTCTTCCTCGGCTGGCAACCGCGATGTTCGGGCTCGCCGCGAAAAGCCAGGCGACTTCACCACCATCACTGAAGAAAAGACCTGGGAGATCCGCGCCGTCGAGGCAGTCGCACCCAAGCCTCCACCGCACCGCACCCAGCTCCCGCGCTCACCTCAAAAGCCCTCATACCCTGTCGACGATTGCTCTCGCGTCACCTCAGCCACCTCCGTCGACTCTGAATCCACCCACAACGGCGCACCGCTTAAGACTTCCGCAGAGTCTCCCCCCTCTGCCGTGAACCAGACGCCCACAGTCCGCAAGCTTCCAAAGCCGCCTCATCTTGCAACCGCGCAGCCACCATCTGCCCCCGCGGAGCCGCGCTCCCCAACCGCCGCCATCCGCACTGTCTCGCAGGAGAGCAACGAAAGCACCGACGGCCCGCCTCCAGGGCCCGCCACGCAAACTAACAGCACAAAGGCGACGCCGGCCCGAACGCCGCTGCGCCGCGTTCCCTCGCGTCTGCCTCTCCCTCGCCCAGCAGAGCCTCAACCCCAACAAAGCCCTTTGACAATGGCTACCATCGCCGCAAAGCTCGCCGCTTCAGAGCGCGAGGCCGATGCCGCCCGCGTTCGCGCAAAGCTCAAGGCCGCTCGCGGAGGCGCGATCAAGGCGGTCGCGGCACCGCCATCGCAACAGTCAACGCCGCGACCCATGCCTCCCCCGCCGCCAGAGACCATCGTCGCCGTCCCACCGGAGCCGGAGCAACCCGAAGCCGTCTCAGAATCAAAGCAAGATCTGGACCCCGTCAAGCGCGACCTGCCCCAGGAGGAAGAGCAACAACTCCGCTCTCCCAAGCGCAAGCGCGACAGACGCGTCAGCAAAGTCCAGTCGAGGAGGAGAAGCACGCTTAGCCCCTGGGAGATGGAAAGCCTCATCTCGGGCAACGTCGCCGTTCCCCCTTCACCCGCGCGGTGATACTTAAAACACCGACACATTAGTACCTTCCTTTTCCCCCGCTTCATACTTATATACGAATACCAGGGTTCAAATCAGATTGCCCACATCACTATCACTTATAATAGAACTCTGTCGTCTTCTGTTTGTTTTCCAAAGGAGGATTCAAAGATATCATGGGAGGTTGGGATAATTCCCCCACAACGGCGTTAGAGAAAACGGGAAAGCCGGGAGAGCGAGCGACGAACTGGGGCTGGGACAGCGCCGCGAGTTGAAAGGGCAGGCAGGCAGGCAGGCAGGCAGGCTGAGCTGGAGGAAGGGAGGATTCAGTGATTTTTTTGTTTCGTGTCATGGGTGGTGCGTGGCCTTGCTTTTGAATCGGGCCACCACCACAATGGCAGAGTTGTAGTACCCCCTCACCCACGGTTTGTTTACTTTCAGGTAGCGAGCACTGAGCGAGCGAAGCGCGCGTGTATGTGTGTGTCGTCGTCTTGTTCAGTCGCGCGGAGCTTGGATCATTTAATCTAACATGTCTGTTCTTTGCTTGTTCAACTATCTTTATGATGCTGAAGTTTTCTTGTGATGTGGCTCTTAACGACGTGAGTTGATCTGGTGTTGGGTAATGGGTAATGGGTAATGGGTAATGGGAGCGGTAAATCGTCACTACATCGGCATGGGAAAGTTGAGAAGAGGGAAACGCAACGCAAAATCTCAGTTGTTGTTATCGTCTAGGCCACTTGATGCTTCTTCCAGTTAAGTATGTCACCGAGGAGGTGGGTTGGTAGTGATCAATCAATCTAGCCTCGATAATCCGACCTCGCCAAAGGGCCGATGATCGAAAGGGACGCATAAGATCAGAATCAACCGCGGAATATCAACTCCCTCCGTTGTATCAACAGCCCTCCACCACCAAGCCGAGTAATCGTCGGGAGGGAACAAGGTGAAAGTTGCATATAAGTGCAGCGGGCCCAACAGTTGCGCCCTTCCGTTCGTATCTCATTATTCATCTGTATACCCATACACTACTAGCATGCATGACGCCGAGGAAAGGCAAGGAATATACGAAAAACATCTTCAGTACGCCGCCGCCTCAACTGGCTCAGCATCCTCCAACGGCACAGGAAACGCCGCCTCCCAGCTCCCGTACACCAGCTCCACGCCGTGCGCCTCGCAAAACGCCCTCAGCTGGTCCATCAACACGCCCGTCAGCGCCCGCTGGTACACCCTCCGCAGCCGCCGGCCGAGCTTCACGACCCTTTCGATAACCGCGCCGATGCGCGCCGGCTCGCAGAGGGAGGAGTGCAGCTCGAGCACCTCGAGGTTCGGGAAAGACTCCAGAAAGCCGAAGAGCAGGTCGTTGGGGTTCGCGCCGCGGTGGGCGGCGTCGCGGGTGAGGGCCTCGTGGGACTCGAAGTCAAAATCGAAAAAGCCGAGGGTGCGTACGGAGGCCGCGCCGCGCAGGAAGTCGAGGGCCGCGGGGAAGTACTGGCCCGGGTCCTGGCGCCAGCAGAGGCCGACCTCGCGCAGGCGGCCGGAGCGGATGGCCGGCTCGAGGAGGATGGTGGCGAGGTCGACGCTCAGCGGCAGCTTGGGCATCCAGAAGCGCTCGAGGTTGGGGTACGTGACGAGGTCGAGCTTGTCGTCCTGCGCGGTCGGGGAGGCGGAGGCCTCGGCGTAGCCGGAGTAGTCGAGCGGCAGCTGCTGCGGGAGCCAGTCGCCGTGGTTCCCCTGGTGCGTGGCGCGGGCTTCGAAGACGCGGAAGGAGGACGGGTGGAGCGGGGGAAAGTGGCGTTTGTTCCCCATGGAGAGGCCGCTCCGTGTTGTGCCGAGGCGGATGACTTGGAGATGGCGCCAGAGGGACCAGCAGTCCTCGGGCGGGGAGAGGGAGTCGAGGTCGGTGAAGACGCCGCAGTTGTCGAGGTAGAGTTGCTGCAGATTTGGGGTTGCTCTGGCGAGTGCAAACTAAAGGGGAGTTCTTATTAGTATGAGTGAAGAGGCGTGGGGTTAAGAAGACTTACGGGGTTTATTCGACGTTCCGTGGTAAGGTTGGAGAGGGTATTGTTCAGTGGGCCTGTGAGTTGTAGGATCTTGAGACGGGGCATTTCAGGCCAGTTGAGGTCATTTAGATACATGCTAATCAACGTGAGACTCTGCAGGTTATTCTTTGCACGCTCGACGAACTGCCTGACGAAATCTTGCGGTCCGCCTCTGCCGGTGTACTCTGAGTGAGTGTGGTGAAAGTTGAATTTGAGGTGAGAAAGGCCCTCGAAGAAGGGCGGCTTTGGAGGTAGCTTATACCCCCAGTCGCCGTCCATGCTGCGTCGGATGCCGCCCAGCTCCAAACGACTTGTCGTCTGTGGATTCGTGGTCTGAATGAGCGATATCCATTTCGACTGGTTGAGCTGGAAGGTGTGGGCGTTGGGTATGATGAGGCTGCGTGCGCGACCGGCGGTGCGTTTGCGCAGTGTCTTCATGAAGCTCACGCGAGGGGGCTTTTGAGTATTTGTGACTCTGAAGTGGAGTTCTCTCCAAATGTAGGGATGGGTATCGAAGAAGGTTTCCCAGCGTTTGCAGACACCCGAGAAGCGGCTAGCTAGGTTAGAGTCACAGTACGTGGAGAGGAACGGTGCTTGCTTACCATAACTCGATGAACTCGAAGTAGGAGAATATGCTCTCGACTAGCTCTGACGGGAGGTCTAATGGATCCTTGCGGCAGAAGTGTTTGTGTAATGGTTCCCGAATTTTGCATAGTTGCTTGCGCCTGTCAGTATGGTATCAGTACCTGAAGTTTGGCAGACATACTTGATACTTTGTCGTCCCGACAAGACCCTCTCTCTGGCCAGCATCAACACCAGCAGTCCATATCGCCCAAGCCAACTCCGGCTGCTTTTCAAGTCGGTAAATCTTGCCGAGTCTCATGTACCCCTGAGTAATGTCAGCCACGTTGTTGCCATAGCTAAGAAAGCACCGCAAGGGCACAATGAAAGCCAGACAAAGCATACCTCCAATCTCTTCGGCGCAATCTCTAGCAGCCACTCCGCATCTTTCCTGGCCTTCTCCAGGTTTCCCATCTTCTCGAAGCACGCAGCCCGGTAGTCAAGCGCCTGCACATGGCCCTCGCGATGACACTTTCCCCAAGTCTTCTCAGCGCCGCACTTGCACTCCTTCGTCGCCTCCGCGTAAACGGCGCCCCTTTCCCTACGAGCAAGAGCAGCAGCCTGACCAAAGTCTCGACATGTGCATCGTTCCCGGCGGCGACGTTGCTGAGTGTCAGATGCGCTGCTTGTGGTACCCCGACCAGCTGAAGATGATGAGGGTGATGAGCAGGGACAGTTTCCTGCGACGAGTGTGAAGTGCTCCAGTGCAACGCGGAAACGCTGGTCTGCATAGGCTGAACGACCCTTCTCGATGGACGCTTCCGCCGAGCGAACCCTAGGCAGCTGGTTGGGCGCCATGCCGAGGATGTCACGGCAGGCTGGTAAGAGTCTGAGAGGATCAGTTAGTTTCAAGATAGCATGGTCCACGACATAGGAGATTGGTGAGATCCCTTGAGTGATAGAGCCGCAATACGAGGCTCTCTCTCAGCGAATATCTTCTAGAGGTCACGTGGTGACTGGAACATGGTACTCACGATGCCTGGGGAGATGCTATCGGTGAGCCGACCGGCAAAGCGACAACTACTGTGGTGAAGCCGATATTGTGCTCATCTCCCTGTTAATGCAGGGCCGTGCAGACAATGGCAGGTAGCCGACGTCAAGTGCTCTCGACGAGGTCGTAGTCGACGTCGGCAAGCCGTTGAGGACGTCTACTATCGCCGAGGTTCAATCGTGAGGTCGCAGGTCAAAGGCGCGACGCGACGCGGTCCGCCGTAAATGGGCGACCCCACCATGGCCCGTGTGGCCCGTAGAGTGCGGTGTGGCTGAACTGTCGGCACCCGCCGCCGGTCAGGGCCCAAGCTAGCGGCCAGTTTCAGCGTCCTCATCCCTCCCAAAGCCCTGGGATTCGTCTCAAGATTGTTTGCTTGCTTTTCTTTCTCTGATCGTCATTTACCTTGCGACAGATCATACAACTACAGCTGGGTTATCCCATGATGATTCGGAGACAACATGCTATGTCTTCGTTATCTGGTCACAAAGAAAGAAGTTCGCCCTCAGCTTCATACCGCGCAAAACACCCCTCTCCACCATCGTTCTAGACCTCGCCCGTCCGCAGCCGATCACAGCTCAGGCCTGCGATGCAGATTTCACCGAATCCTGCCGACGGCCCTTTCGCCGCGAGACAAGGGCGATTGCTCTGTTCAAACACCGGCATCGCCATCTTTGCTGGGTTCCGCCATCCGCCGCCATTCCGACTTGGTACTTTGGTCCTATCCGTTGCTTCACCATCACATTGCACACCGATCATGGCCTTGTCACACACCTCATGGACCATCAGAAATCCAAAGAACTGAGCCTCAATCTCACTCACTTCACAGCCCAGAACAGCCGCCAAACCAGCCACATCTCACCTCACAACTCAAAACGATTACAGGACCGACCCCACGGTTTGTCCTGGCCAGTCTCTTATTCCCACCCGTAACCCCATAATCCTATTTTGTGCCACCCCATGTCATGTTGCCACAACGTCGACACACTATGCCTGCCTCATGGCCATGAACCACGAGCCCGCGGTTCGTTCCTCCCAAGCGCAGTCCCAAAGACCAGGGGAGTGAGGGGCGCGGCGCGATACCTCAGGACAAATCTATCCCCACGCCACATGCCCATGCCGGTGTAACCTCGATGCGAGTGATCATTATCCCCAGGCCATGGTGATGCGATTCCATGCCTCGATGAAACCTTTCACCACCTCGTCCGGTTCAGGCACCTACATTCTTCGACCTGGAATCTTGGCCAGACCCCGGGCTGAATCGACCAGGGACGGGAATTGCAACAAACATCCACCCTCAACTTTCGTTTCCAGCCGCCATCAACAGAAACACGGGGCGCAATGGCAACCTGATCTCGTGAGCGAGTATCTGTGTGGTGGGGTGCGACAACTTCCATCGTCTTGTTGGTGACCTCGAGCATTTGCACTCTCGACCAATTCAAACGTCCACACAAGCGCTCGCAACGACCTGCCCTTCATCGCCCTGCCAGATGCATCGCCAGGTCGGTGTAGGTAAACCGATTTAGAACCAACCCAATGCAATGCAGCAGCCGGGTAGCATTCCAAAAAACAGGGACATGCGTCCTCAGCTGCCCCCCCCCAAAAGTCCCCAAAAGACACCAAACCTGGGGCTGTCATTATTTTCCCCTACTACCCGATCGATCGCTGCTAACCTGAAAGCGAGACATGCAGATTCTCCTCCCCTACCAAGCAAACCAGAAGCCCTTGCCGCGCCGCCGTAATCAGCCAGCCGCATTGCATTTCCCACGCCCATGGATTCCTCCGTCTACCTCTCGCTGCCTACCTTGCACACCGAAAGCTGCGAAGACAACTGCAGCCAAGACAGGAACACACACACATACACACGTTCCAACAAAAATAAGCAGCCGGAGCCGGGGCGCCGCGGACGACCGCTGCATATCCGGCCGCATTAGACCCGAGACTCTTTTTTTGGACCCCAAAACAAACCACTACCGGCCCAGCGGCAGCATCCCATCCATCCACCAAAGAAATGCTCAACCAAAAAAAAGTGCCCGCTTCTTTTGCTTCCTTCTTTCTCTCTCGGGAAGTTTTACCCCAAGTCTACTTCAGCTTGCTTCGCAATTGTAAAAATCCTTCAGCCATTGACTAGGAAGTCGTATGTTTGTGAGTACGGCGTAGTTTCTGTAACATGTGAGACAATAGTCCGAGGTCCCCACAGCGTAAGGTAGCCCCGGGGGGCCTCATCCAAGTTTGCCCGGAATCGCCCTCCAGGCAGAACCGACCGTGAGGTTGATCGAGGTGGGATCTGGAATCTCGGATACGGGGTGCAAGCAAACAAACACACCAAACACCCCAGAACGAGGCCAAACATCGATTCTGCCCGAGAGGATTCTCGCGTCCCCTCCCGTGCCGCCTTCCCGCGCAACACGATTCCGGGAACCATTCCTTGTGCTTCAGCAACCTGCTTGTTTGCTTGCAATGTGCATATTCATTCAGCCGGGCAAGGTTCTGTGATGTGATCGTATCTTGCTGCCTTCTCGCCTTCGCCGCCCCCTCGCGTTGGCATATGACCCGATGGCTCGTCAATTGGAGCTTGGCTCCGGGGCCTAACGGAACCCCCACCCCGGCCGTCAACTATGGCCCGCCAAAACCGCAGCCGAACCGAACTTCATCCTTCCCGTCACGATGCTCGGAAACCCCCCAGGCCCCAAGACCGCCATGATCCATCCCGTCTTTGATGTTTAGAGGTCTGATGTAATTGCCTTTCACTCAGTGCACTCCCCGAACTGCTAAGGGATCAGCCCGTAATCTGCAGCCGTGTAACCGAGAATCCTCTGGCGAGCAAACAGCTGCTGGCCTGACCTGCCTTGGCTACCTAACCCACCGCCAGACGGGCAGCAACAGGAAGGGAAGAAAAAGAAACCATACCAAACCCACCAACCGGAATCGTGGGTCCCCTCATCCCATCTCCCAAGACATGGCTTCTCAGCTACCTACGTATTGTATGCTTATTCCGCTTCGCCTACGTAAAAATGGCAAATGTCCCCCGGCCCCCGGTGAAAAGCGCATCATTCAATCGTCACATTTACAGCTAGACAAGGATGAGGGGGGGCTTTTAGCGTTGGGCAGAAAATAAACCCGGGGCTTGCAACGTGTGTGTCTTTTCCCGCTAGTTTCACAGCTTGACAACTGGTTGATGATCTGCAAAGATGCACATTTTGAGGCTTTGCTTTTTGGGGGGATACATACATCCATTTTGCGGCGCAAGATAGTACAAATGATGCCCCGAATTCATAGATTTTCCTCGTGCCTAGTCAATCCCACCTCGCTCCAATCCTGGAACCTGCAAAGCAACCCCCCGTTGGCTTTCATCTCATCTTCAACCTTGACAGCTTCGTGTTACATGGACCTGGCCTGTCGATGCTGAAAGTACGATGCTGTCACAGTAGCCGCATTCTGTAGATGCACGCCCTCTCTCCCCCATCATTCCAAAACATAGGTACAGTTGGGTGGGTGGTAACACAGGAAAGCACAGCAGCCAAGAGAGACTCAACCACAGACGCACATGATGCACCTTACATACTCGGGCTGCGCAAAGCCCTAGCGTCAAGCCCGGCTACGCTGGCTGCTCAGATCATGACCACGCCCACCCTACCTTACATAATCGTGCCACACTCGCGCAACAGACGCCGCGCTTGCGCTTGATGCGCTTGCCTGCGCCTTCCCGCGTCTGTCGTCTAATCCACTAATGCCGTGCCGGGCTGTGCTCCAAACCCAAAAAGAAACACTCGCACTGGGCTTGTCTCTGCTGCGGTCCGTTCTCTGCAATGAGATTCTCACCCAACCCTCCACAATGGAAGAACGCGCCAAACTGTCCTCTCTCAGAGTCCTGAACTTTCCCACACCGAACCGTGATATTTCCCCATGGAATCAACAAGCAGTCACCCCTTAACCCCCTTCAATCCCCTCCCCCGGCCGCAGAATCTCACTCATCCATCCCGAACGCCAAAAATGGCCCCCCATCGGACTTTCTTCAATCCTGATGGGAAAGCAAGCCGGCGGCCCAAACCACAAACCCACAATCGCCCTGTCCCCCGGCGCATGGCTAGTATCCAATCTGACATCTGACACGTTTCCCCGGGGTGCCTCCGTCTTCCGGCAAGCCAGCAAAGAACAAGCGCCATGCATGCCACTCATGCACGGCACTATTTCCCCCCATCCCCATCATCAATCATCGTCATCTTTCTTCAAACGCCCAACCGCACACACACTCGAACAGAAACCAAAAAAGAAACAAAGTCCCGTACATGAACAAAACTGCAACCACAAGCCCATCTACCCGCGAAAACCGTGTGGACATTTTTAGACCCCAACGCTAGTTATCCAAGACAGGTTCCGCGGGGACGGGAGAGAGAGACAGCCCAACCCGCGCTATCTCGCCTATTCCCAAAACAAGCGCCACCCTCCGACCCTCCGGCTCATCTCCATGTGACACTCTGAGAGAGAGAGGGAGACTGCCGCGATGACCCCACTTTTCCTTCTCCAAATGAACACCACACACGCCAGTGACCGACCCCGGTCTCCACACGCCCTGTTCGTCCGTCAAGCGAAAAAAGCTCCTTCCGCCGCCCGGCCACCACCCGCCGCCTCACCTAAAAATAGTTCTATTCTTAGAAACATCCCATCTCATCATCGCATCTCGTGCTCAATGTCTCCCCCACCAACACCAAAAGTTCACAATTTCAACGACCACCATTCGCCCCGTGCCATGCCAGCCGAAAAGACCACCACTCCTGTCAGAATTCAATCAATCGCGACGACCCGAGGA